ACGCTCCCAGGTTACTAAGACCATCTCTAATCCCATTTCCTTTTCAGGTACCTCCAGAACAACCCTTCCACGGTGTGGGCAACCGGGAAGTGATAATCACCCTCATACCTCTAACAGCACTCAAGACCACTGTATTCCTAATCAACCTCCGTCTTCACTTCCTACTACTCCTCCTATATCGACTTTCACCTCTAAAATTCCTTTTTCGACTTCCTCCTCAAACAGTGTAGTACCTAGCACTAAACTCACTCGGCTCAACTAACCACATCTTATCAGTATAGTGAGGTGAAATTATTAAAACAAATGCTAGAGTAGTAGTAGGAGTAACAGTATCAGTTGTGGTAGAAAATACTGAGCATATATAATATGATTCGAGAAAAAATGGATTTGTGAAATAAGAAGTATAAGTAGTTTAGGGAAAAGACTAAATGCATTTTTGTTAGTATGACTGATTTTAAACCACCTTAGCAAACATTTTCAACTGTTTGTTACGATAGTCATGAGGACCCACCCCCAACTACGTAGTTCTCATCTATCTACCACAGTAAGTGGCAGGATATCAATAAACAACCTCTGATGTTATTTTCATACCCTGACAGAGTTATTCGAGAGAAAAACAGAATACATGGATATCATTTGTGTCAGTCAAGAAGTTAGATTCCTGCTTTATAAGAAGAATTATGTATATGCTCAAATAATGTAACTTCCTCCTGAAGCCCTTTTAGGGATACTTCCGGTCCAAAACCGGGACCGACACGGGGTTAGTAACCGCATTCCGTCGAAAACAACGTTGTTAATAAACGTTAATCATAAAAAAATCAATGTGACTTATCCCGTATAGATTCTACTACTTCGGTATTCATCATGTTAATTGTATCTCCTTATGTTGGTGAGGTGTAGCAGATTCAAAGTTTGGTGTTGCTTATGACCGACTGACTGACTGACTGACTGACTGACATATTTATGTATTCGACTACAAGCTATAACTTTCGATATCATTCGGTTGTCCAAATGGCTATTGCAATTCGAACCTGAGACTTAATAGTAAAAGCAGAGTGCTTTAACGAATAAGCCTTCGATTTCACTCTAAAACGAGTTGATCTATGGAACCCCTAGACTCCAATATGTTATAACCGAACAAAAAATAAATAAATGGTAACTGCTGAGGGTTTTTATAGACTATTGTTACGTATATTCTTACCGGATAATTATTAAGTAACTAGATTATATATATATCTACATTCCTTTCATTATAAGCTTTCATTTGACTTATTGGCTAATGTTATACGATTTACTATTCTCCAGTTATTCTCAATTTATCAGTTACTGTCTCCCACACACAGCCAATTTCAGCTTGATCTTGCATAATTGTTATTTTTTATTTTATGGTGTGATGGGGTCTGGTCCGCTTGCGTATAGACCAAGTACGTCTGAAATATAAGATCCATATAGTGGAGGTTGATATTTGTGTTCCGGACTGAACGAGCTGGGTTAGGTGAGAAGCTGCTATACAGAAGGCCAACAAGGAATCGGAATTAACTCCAGCCTACCAGTGCTGTTTGACATGATATTGGTTAGTGATTTTATCACGTGATAGTTAAGAGGCGATAGAACACAACAGAATACTTTGAGGTTTACAGGGTTGCAAAGAAAGCTGGAATAAACAGTCACAGTTAAATATGTATGTTTGTTTGAAAATTTCAATATACATCCACATCTTGAGACAAATTTCAATAAACTCAATCTGGTATTTAGTTCGACACTTGAAAATGTAGGTATGACTGTAAGAGAAACAGCATTGCATAGATGATAGGTTTGAATAACCCAATGGCAGGGAATAAATTCGAATATATTGTGATAACTCCGCCTGAAGTCCCTCCGGGGGCTACTGCCGGTCCCAAGCCCGGATAAAGGAGGACGGTTGGGCATGGGGTTAGCGTCCCCATCCCGTAGAAAACTAACTCGCTAAAAAAACGCTAACCAAAAAAAATTATTCAAACCTTTTAAACTCTGCCCTGGGAGTCAGGTCTTCATTTAGAAGAACTATGACGCCTCATGATGAAAGCCGAATTCCTTCGGAAGTTACGAGGCCGATGCCCCTTCTGACAACCAGAGCAACCATTTATTTAGGTACATGGAATGTTCGTACAATGTGGGACACCGGCAGAGCCTTCCAAATTGCTGCAGAAATGAGAAGATACAACCAAGAGGTACTTGGGATCAGTGAAACACATTGGACGCAAGTTGGACAACAACGACTAACTACAGGAGAGCTCCTGTTATACTCCGGCCATGAAGAAGAAAATGCACCACATACACAAGGAGTTGCATTGATGCTATTTAAACAAGCGCAAAATGCGCTTATAGGATGGGAATCTCATGGACCAAGGATCATCAAAGCCTCGTTCAAAACAAAGAAAGAGGGCATTTCAATGAACATCATCCAATGCTATGCGCCTACCAACGACTACAATGAAGACGCTAAAGATCAATTCTACAATAGGCTGCAGTCAATCGTCGAAAAGTGCCCAACAAAGGACCTGACTATTCTGATGGGAGATTTCAACGCCAAGGTTGGAACGGACAACACTGGATATGAAGACATCATGGGACGACACAGACTGGGAGAAAGGAACGAAAATGGTGAGAGATTTGCAAATCTATGTGCCTTCAATAAACTGGTCATATGGGGAACTGTATTCCCACATAAACGCATACACAAAACCACAAGGACTTCACCGGATCACACCACGCAAAACATATTTGCATCAACAAAACGTTCAGGAGGACTATAGAGGACGTGAGAACCAAGAGAGGAGCTGATATAGCATCAGATCATCACTTGCTGGTCGCCAAGATGAAATTGAAACTCAAGAAGCACTGGACAACGGGACGGACAATATCACAAAAGTTCAATACGGCCTTTCTTCAGGATACTAACAAACTCAACAAATTCAAGATAGTCCTCAGCAACAAGTTCCAGGCCTTTCATGATCTACTCAATGGAGAAGGAACTACTGTGGAGAGCAACTGGAAGGGGATCAAAGAGGCAATCACTTCAACATGTCATGAGGTCCTGGGTCACAAGAAGCACCATCACAAGGAATGGATCACTGTTGATACACTGGATACGATTCAAGAAAGGAGGAACAAGAAGGCAGTAATCAATACCAGCCGAACAAGTGCAGAGAAATTCAAGGCACAAGTCGAATACACAGAAGTAAACAAGCAAGTGAAGAGGAGCATCAGAACCGACCAACGTAAATATGTGACGATCTAGCAATGACGGCGGAAAAGGCTGTAATCAAAGGACACATGAGATAATTGTATGATACAATAGAGAAGCTCGCTGGAAATTATCGTAAACCAGAACAACCAGTGAAAAACAAGGGAGGCAAAGTAATCACCAACACTGAGGAACAGCAAAACAGGTGGGTAGAACATGTGGTGGAATTGAACCCTAACCACACAATAGTCAACGCTGAACACGAGACACCTAGGAAAATAGATATTGAGCATGTGCCACTGAGAAAAGCCCAACGAGGGAGAAAGCGGGAAGAATGGATCCAATGAATTCGAATTGGTCGGATGGCATGGCTTGGCCTAGCAACCGTGGACTTTGTTAAATGTTATCTTATGCTTTTTATTCATATTAAATATATTGCTCTATCTCTAGTCTAAGCTTGCATTGGTGATTGTTACATTGCAATGAATCAGGGTAGGCAATGGTGTGACTTCCACGTAAGATCTTTTAGATTAGGTACTTACATCATAACAACTCTACAATTTCAGGATCAGGTTTATTATCAGAGCAGTACTAATATCGAAGTAGACTATATTTCAACAGACACATCAAGGAACTCTTGAATCGATCAGCCCCACTGAACACACCCAACATCGAAGTAGCACCAAAGGACCTCCCAATCAACGTTGGCCCACCAACAATTGAAGAAACCAGCATGGCCATCAGACAAATCAAGAGTGGCAAAGCAGCAGGACCAAACAACATTCCAGCACAGGCACTGAAAGCAGACGTAGCGGCAACTGCAAGGATACTCCACATTCTCTTCAGCAAAATTTGGGATGAGGAACAAGTACCAAAAGACTGGAAAGAAGGACTCCTGATCAAAATACCAAAAAAAAGGCGATCTCAGCAAGTGTGATAACTACAGGGGCATCACTCTGCTCTCAATACCGGGAAAAGTCTTCAACAGGGTATTGTTAAACAGGATGAAGGACTGCGTAGACGCCCAACTTCGTGACCAACAGGCAGGATTCCGTAAGGATAGATCGTGTACAGACCAAATCACAACTCTACGGATCATTGTGGAACAATCAATTGAATGGAATTCATCACTCTACATCAACTTCATTGACTACGAAAAGGCATTTGATAGCGTGGACAGACCAACACTATGGAAACTTCTTCGACACTACGGCGTGCCTCAGAAGATAGTCAATATCATACAGAACTCATATGATGGATTACACTGCAAAATCGTGCATGGAGGACAGTTGACAAAGTCGTTCGAAATGAAGACCGGTGTCAGGCAAGGTTGCTTACTCTCACCCTTTCTCTTTCTCCTGGTGATCGACTGGATCATGAAGAAGTCAACATCTGAAGGAAAGCACAGGATACAATGGACATCTAGGATGCAGTTGGACGATCTAGACTTCGCAGGAGAAGACGAACAGTGTGGCAGCAGCCTCAGCAGCAGTAGGTCTCAATATACACAAAGGGAAAAGCATGATTCTCCGGTACAACACAGAACGCACCAATCCAATCACAATTGACGGAGAAAATTTGGAAGATGTAAAAACCTTTACATATTTGGGCAGCATCATTGACGAACAGGGTGGATCTGGTGCAGATGTGAAGGCGCGGATCGGCAAAGCAAGAGCAGCATATTTACAACTGAGGAACATCTGCAACTCAAAACAACTCTCAACCAACACCAAGGTCAGGATTTTCAATACAAATGTCAAGACAGTTCTACTGTATGGGCAGAAACCTGGAGAACTACGAAATCCATCATCCAGAAAATAAAGGTGTTTATTAACAGTTGTCTACGCAAAATACTTCAGATCCGTTGGCCTGACACTATTAGCAACATTCTATTATGGGAGAGAACAAACCAGATCCCAGCGGAGGAAGAAATCAGGAAGAAGCGCTGGAAGTCGATAGGACACACATTGAGGAAAGCACCCAACTTCGTCACAAGACAAGCCCTCACATGGAATCCTTAAGGCCAAAGGAGGAGAGGAAGACCAAAGAACAAATTACACCGAGAAACGGAGACAGACATGAGAAAAATGTACAAGAATTGGATGGAAATAGAAAAGAAGGCTCAGGACAGAGTGCGTTGGAGAATGCTGGTCGGCGGCCTATACTCCATAGGGAGTAACAGGCGTAAGTAAGTATATTGTGATAAAAATGAATGGTAACGGCAAAAGGACGAGGACACACGGTAATGATGATAAAGACAGTTTATCATATTGTTAAAAAGATAAAAACCACTAATATTCCCTGATGTTGTCTTGAAGCACCTAGAAAAGAATGAAAACATGTTAGACGACTGTACTTACTTACTTACACCTGTTAACCCTCACAAAAGAGCATATGCCGCCCACCAGCATTCTCCATTGAACTCTGTACTGGGAGATCCCTGTCAGTTTTTCCCAGTTGCTTTCCTATCCATCCTTTTGACGACTGTAGTGTTCTGCAAGTGTCTCCAACCATCCTACTCATGCAACTAGTATCCGGTCATATGAAATAGTAAATAGTTCGATTTTGCCACAAATTATCCAAACACAAATTATTAAATGTACGATACTATTAGGATTTATTAGAAAACACTTCCGAAATAAAAAGCATGAACGAAACGAACATCTGCATAAGCTATGCACCGTTTGTAATCACTTACACCTTTTTGAAGACAAGAATATATAACAGTAGGTGCTGAGTCATCAGGAGGCACTTTTAAGCCAAGAGCTTTAAACGCTTTCTGCAAACAGGATAGAATTTCTACATTATCCTCCGAACTGTCCACATCCATGAAATGATGTTCGTTACTTTGTTTACCAACAGACTTCATTATAGATAATTGTCTAACAGCCATTATCTCTGAACATAGATATTCTGAGAAAGAAAAACAAGAACAAAATGTGAAACCGAGACAATGGTTGTACCACATCCCCTTGCATTATGTATCATGGTTGAGTAATAGCATTTATTGTATGTATAAACAGTCAATCCATCAGTAATGAGCAGCATAAAAACTGACGCATATGCACATCAGTTCAACTTCCCATACCACAGTATAGTGCGACGAAATTATAAGGATAAATGTAAGAATAGTAGCAGGAGCAGTAGAAACTTAATGAGTTAAAAACTCATTTTCCCCTCATTTTGGAAACAATTGAGTGCCATTTTAAACTTTTACATAGAACAATAAATAATAACTTATCCTAAACGTAATTTGCCATGAATTTAAACAAAGATTTTATCTATGGAGTAATTACACAGTTAAAACATATAGAAGGGTTAGACTCACGTAAAAGCAAACTACGATTATTAACAGAAGAAAAGCGGTCAGAAATAGGTCCTTCTGTTAGCACTGAATATGGGCAACCTTTAAAACAAAACAAAAAGATCACTTGGTGAAAGGAGTCCACCTTGTCAAACAGGATATCCGATAAGTCACAAAATAATCAATAACTAGTGTCAGCGATGCCCTACTGGTTAAAAGACTCGAGAAACAACTACAAGGTTTCTGGTTCGAAGCCTAATCCACCTCTGTTTCTGTTCCCAGGTAATTCACACACACTTAAAGTGCTAAACACGCACACCTGCACGTGATTACTAAGTTAGATGAAAAGTAATTCAGTCAGTCAGTCAGTCTATGATGAAGTTAAACAAAAATGGAGAAAGTGGGCAGCCTTGACGGACACCACTTGAGGTTGTAAAGGTAGATGACAGTTCGCCATAAGCCCTGACTCGACTAGTAGTGTTCGAGTAAAAAGCCAGTCCATCTGGACCAGCTGCCCTTCCTCGTTTCAGATTAACTATAGCCTTCTCAACTTCAGCAAGAGTTGGGGGACCTACTTCAATGTTCCATTCACTTTGTCTGGGAATGGAGGGTAGTTGTAGAGTAGCTGAAGGCCAGCTATACGTGAGCAATACTTCAAAAACATCTGCGAGGGAACACTAGCAACTTATGAAAAACTAACCAATGAATTTTTAAATTTAAAATGATATAGAGTAAAATACTTGAAAGTAGACTTACCATCTGATAGTCAGACAGACAACAAGCCTACGCTACAAGTCTCATTATTTCATGAAAGTTATGCTGGCTCTTTTCTTTAAGTGCCAACATTTCAACATTTGTTGACCTACTGTGTTAGATGACACTACAGATCACTGTTGGACAATCAACTGAATGGAACTCCTCACTATACATCAACTTCCTTGACTATGAGAAAGTATTCGACAATATGGATAGGAAAAACCTATGGAACCCTCATCGACACTATGGTGTACCTGAGAAGATCGTCAACATCATACGGAAGTCATACGACGGACTACAGTGAAATTCATAGGTGGAGGACAGCTGGCAGATGTATTCCAAGTGAGTACCGGTGTCAGACAAGGCTGCTTACTCTCGTCGTTTATCTTTCTTCTGGTGGTTGACTAGATTATGAAGACCACTATATCTTAGGGTGAACACGGAATACAATGGACAATTTCGATGTAACTAAACGATTTGGACTTTGCAGATGACCTAAACCTCTTATCTCATACACACCAACAAATGTAGGTGAATACAGCCAGTGCAGCAGTAGTCTCTGTAGCAGTACACAACGTATCATAAATAATACAATCACATGAACAAAAGAA